CATCACCGTTTGACGAAAATTTTCAGCTTCAGATTCAGACCTTCATAGCAGTTCAATTACTGTGCAATTGATTTATTTCGTTAATCTGTACTATAAATATACGTATAGTATATAGTATATTATTTTTTTATGAATTCAATATACTCTATACTGTAATATAGAGTATATTGAATCCATAAAAAAATAATCGGAAGCATTATTTGAACTTAATTTACGAACCCTGAATATGTCTATGTTCAAATATTCACCCTATAATTCTCCTATGTTGTCAGCACTGTTTGACAAAAATTAAATGTCTAGTCTTGATGTTGGTAGAGTAGCTTGGTGCCCGTTCATACATTTACTTTTTCTAAGAAGTCCGGCCGCTTCGTAAATGTAGTGATTATATTCTCTTTGTCACTGACCTCTATATGTCACAACTCAATGTTGAATATTGATTAGATGGCTACATATTCTATTTATCGATGATCACAGACTAATATAATGCTTACGCCCAAAGATAATATAATCACTACGTTTACTTACGCCATAAGGGGCTACTCCATGCGAACGACCTTGAGCATTTGGCCGGCGCGCCGCTCGCTACAATATATTGCGTAAGAAATATGTAAGACGCCACCTATTGTACGAACGTAGTATTATTTTTTCAACATCAATAAACTATTTTATGGAAATACACACAGCTTACAAAGATAAATGTATTTTAATTTTTTTATTCGGTATATATTAGTTGCATTATATTAGAATTATGTATTTTCATATATTATCTAATTATGAAATTTTATAATTAATTATATATTAAAAATGAAGCATTGAAAATTGTGAGTTTAAAAGATTACCTAAAAGAGACCTATTCACTATAGGTAAATAAATAGATAGCTCGGCTTTTGTACAAATATTTGATGCAATAAAAAAAAATAGGATGTTTCGCAGATGTGTTTTTGATTATTGTTAATTTTTACGTGTCACGTATTGAAAAGTAATATACCTATCTACTAATTTTTGAACTGAGCACCTTGTAACTTAGCCTGTTTATTACTTATGCTGGCAGACATTATCCTCACCCCAATGATTGATGAGGATGAAAATCAATTTTATTTCTACATACGTAATTATATTTATTTATACATAAGGGTAACTTTAATAAAGGTAATACAAAAATCAACAAGAAGTATAAGGGTTCAATCTTTCAATTTCAATTGTAAAAAAAAACGTTACCCCCACACTAGGATTTTCTCCTGTGTCGCGGAGGCAGTTTACAAACATAAATTGCACAAGGACAAACATCCAGACCCGGAACAATTATTTGTAGGCCATACAAATACTTGTTCCGTGCGGGATTCGAACCCGCGGCCCCCAGCGCTACAACTGATTGCTAAGCCACTGCGCCATGGAGCCGTCGCCGGGTTATAGCTAAAGTGACCATACGTCCCGTTTTGAATGGGACTGTCCCTTTTCTCGGTCACCTGTCCCATTGTCCCCAAACAAAGCTCCAGGACACAAAATTGTCCCGTAACTCGTTGGGTGGAAGTATTCAAAGTCAACAATCTTCAACATAATTTTTTTTAATCGAATATATTTTATGTCTACCTGGTACAAATGCTCCAGTAGAAAGAGTATTTTTTTATTTTGAATAAATTGTGGACGTCTGAAAGAAACACTTACGGTTCCAGTTCTAAAGGCGATGTTGTTAACAAAGGTAACAATAAAAAAACTTGAGCAGAATTTTATTCTTATTTAAAATCATCACCAACTTTATTAAAGCAAATTTAATCCACTGAAATATGTAATTAATAATTTAAAAAAATATGTTGCATTTAATAATTACCGTCTATACCGAATATAATTTTATAGTGAACACTAATTGTATAAAGTTATAGTTTTTAGAGTATAAATAAACCCATGTCCTGTTTTGAGTTAAAAAATAAATGGTCAGTTTAGTTTTTTTTAGTTTAATTTAGTTTTAAAAAATTTTAGTTTATAGTAAAAAGTAGGTATATTAATACCTACTTAGATACTTTTTACCGAATTAGGGTGGAAGCCCCTAATACCAGTCATGCCCCTAATTCCAGTCTTTTCGCCTTTTTACTCCATAAATAAGATTTCTAGTGGTCTTAACTACAAATATTGTCATCTAAAAAATTCTTTGTACCTAGAGGAAAGTATATTTATTCAAATATTACTTCACAGTTTTAAACCTAACAGTGTTAAAATCAAAACATGTACGCAACGAAAAACGATCATTTTCCTAATTATTTGACAAGTTATGATCCCGGTAAAATTATGCTTACTTTACATTATCTCATATATAGGCTTTTTGATTTGTATGAATATGACTATATACATAGTAATGCAGTTATTTTTGTTTGAATTTACAAGTTATTTATTTTCTTTTAGTGGAAATTAATGGGGCTGTAATTAGACAATATAAGAAATGTATGGAGTGCATAATGTCAGCCGCCCGGCTGTTATTTGGTTTGACGTACCTAATAAGAAGTACCTAATTTCAGCCACGTAATATAAATCAGGGCTGCTATAAACTGGAATAAATACCATTAATTAGATCATAACTTATTTTATAGCCAAGGGAATTATGATTAATTCGTCTGTTTTAAAATTGGTTTTAGATTTTAAAGTTTAGCAAAAGATGTACTAGCTTTTCTCTTTGACATTCGGCGTATAGAACATCTTACGTATTCAATTATTTTTTTAAATAGAAGAAAAAAACAAGCAATAAATAATATACTATATTTTAGCAAAAAACTGTAACTTAGTAATATTAATTATAACTTAGAACATAATGAAACACTCATAACTGACTTTGTGGCCCGACCCGGGATTCGAACCCGAGACCTCATGATCAGCAGACGCACTACTACAACCACTAGACCAACGAGTAGGTACTATACCTAATAAGATATTATGGTTGGGTATTATGATTATTTTAACTGTATACTATACTGATAATATTGAATTAGCCTTTTATAGTGTAAATTATAATATTTGTCAAAATGTTAATTATGGATTCGAACCTTACATGCTAATAGTGCTTCATTTTTTATTTGCATTTACTTCCAAGAAAATACACGCAAAAAGCTTCATCGCGCAGTAAAAAACACAACAAATATATGTATAACTAATACGAAAAATTATACCCAAAACAAAGAAATAATACTACCTATAAATAACCTAATAATTAATAATATTATAATATTATCGATCGATAAAATGACATGAGCATGTGCGCTGGCAGACGCTCTAACGACACGGGTTCCACGTGTAAGAGCTCAGCGCTCACTGACTCCAGCAAGCCCGTGGGCAGTGAATACGCCCAGATTTTAAAATAATTTCTTACGAAAATCAAATTTTGGTCTTTTGAAAAAAATTTATAATAGAAATGTTCATTAATAAATTGCCTATCCATTGGTGTAAATTGCAAAATAAAATAATACTTACTTTACGAGGAAATGCATGTTATCAATAATAATTTCACATTTATGTGGTTTCGTTGTAAGGAGATTATATATAAATATTATTTATTCCTTTAAAAAAAAAATTGGATATAGCTTTTATCGAATTAAGATTATGTAGAAATATAATGTGTTTTTTATTTGTTGATATATCTTTTAAATAAAAAGTAGATAGCTCCTAAAAACCGCACAAATAACGACTAGCGCGACATTTTGCTCAACCTGCGCCTTAAGTACCCAACCTAACGAAATTAATTAGTGAAAAGTTGAATGTTCTACCTTTCGTTTGTCCCTTTATCTGCTTTTTTCTGTAATTTTCTTAGTAATAAATTTTAAAAATAATAAAATTCACAGTAATTCCATGAGTTTTGGAATGCTTGAATAAATTAGACGTATTGCCACAATATTTCACCGACTTAACACATTGTATACATTTTGCAGTTCTTTCGTTTGTTTTGGTAAAATATGTCCATATTTATGATTTTGGCGCTGCCATGATAACATTGGAACAATAAACCGATGACTACAATAACTTAAATTACTCGTAACGTAATCGTAAACAATCACTTGTGGTATGCTGAACACTGCTATTGCTGACGACCAGTGACAATTTTAGTGTAATGGCGGTTCTCTCTCTCAGTCTTGGCTCGAGTGAAGTCGGACGGGTTCGGCTCGCCTGATTCGATACCAAGTACTTTTGTTTCGATACCGAGTAAGTATCGCAAGATTGATTCGATGCTATTAGTACTTGGTATCGAATCAAAAGTATCGAGTACCTACTCGTATTTACTAGTATCGGAATGTCCCTAATTGTCAGACTCCGATTAAATGAGAGTTTTGGCGGGAACTTGACCGGCGGCGGTTTGCTGCTCCTGTATTATAGTTTAAATAATAGTTTGAAATGGAATTTGATATGTAAAAGTGGTGCGATTTTATGTATTAACTGTCTACGCATGTGAACTATTAGTAGAAACGGTGAAACAAGTGCGCTGATTGTGATGGATTCTCAAGATAAGCTGTTTGTTGGCATAGGCGCCTTTAGATACCATCGCCAACTGTCAGCTGTCTGCTGGCTCAAGTTGCCGTCAAAATCTCCCAAGGGCTGCACAATGTGACGCATCAACATATTGTGAACCAGTGAAATTCTATGTACTCAAAATAAAAAAGACAAGGCTGTATGACATAGTTCCTTTGTCTGCTCTTTCGAGCGAATAATAAAAACAACAACAACAACCTATCAAATGAAATTATCTTTGTGGAAATTATCAAACATTAACGCGTAGTGTTTCTATATAGTTTGTGCAAACATTTTACATTTTCCAATTCTCCAGTCCAGTTTTCAGTTATATGTTCTGTGGTTTTCAGATTCAGGATCAGTAAAAACATAGATTACTCGAAAAACTTATGTAGTGATTCTCTCAGTATTTAAGTGTAACATCGTTGGGGATTTTAATTAAGAGCTAGAAATAAGTATTCTGCGATTTAGGGGTTTGGAGGTAAAAGAAATAAAATTGTATTTTAATTCTTATAATGGCTAAGAGGTCAGCTTCTACTGCCTTTGATACGGAAGAACCTAGTCAATCAAAAAAAGAAGGAAAGAAGCATTCTTTAGATTCTGATGAAGAAGATAGTGGCGCAGAAGAAGAAAAGAATAATGTCCTTAATGCTGACGATATTGAAGGTGAAGAAGAAGGAGTCGGAGGAATGGAAGGTGAAGTGAGTAAAAAATCTTACCACATATACAATAAAATAGTTTGCTGTTAATGCTTACTCATCATTGCCTACAATATTCGAAAATTATTATGAATGTAATAACTCTAAAAACAATGTAGCATAAAGTATATCTAATGTCCATAATGTCGATATTTAATAAGTAATGTGTCTTTTTGTTAGTGATTAGTAACTTCTAACTAATTTTGTTTTCCAATAATTAGTTGTATTTTACTACCAAGCCTAGGCCCACTTCTGGGCACACGCCTCTTAATTTCTTTGAAATAATTTTAGTGACAAGTTCCCTCAAAAAGTTTTAATTCACATTAAACAAAAATTGCAATTAATAATTTGGGGATCGAACTCAGATTGTTTGCATAATATAAAATTATGATGAGCTATATTAAAATATCTTAAATTTCTATTCTGTAACTAGCATTGCATAACCACTCAACTGTCCGTCCCGCGTGAGTGATTCTCGCCTGACCTGTCCGTGCATTAAATGTCACTATTTTTACGACTGTGCGAGACTGTCTTAACAAAAACGATTACTACTGACAAACTACTATAGCTACATTCAAATAAAAAATATTCTCAAAAGTCTCAACGAATTCAAAATTTAATTTTGTTAAAAGAAAATTAGTCAAATTAAAAATAAAGCTTAAAAATGGGAATATCAAAAAAAATCATATTGATTTTTTATTTTGAGTTTTACAAGAAAAGTATAATACTTACTGGAGACAATTATTTTATATTATAATAGTACATGATATTCCCTTGAAAATGATACCAATATCAATAATATCTTATATACTCAATATACATAAGTATATAATGTTTACCCAATATAAATTTTAATAATTTCTAGACACATCTCAACAGATATTTTGTTTATAAATTGCTATCAACGTGTTAATAGTGAATCATTATTTTATATTTAGCATTCATTTAACACAAAAAACTGATTAGAATACATTTTAAAAAACATATGCATAATGTAGATCAACATCAACATCACCATCAACATCAATAAACAATGATCGCATATAGTGATGAAAATTTAGAACTAAATTATTATACGACGATATTTTACTGGAAATGAGGCATTCCATCTTAGTCCTCACGGGTGACAACGCATCTGCATTTTGAATCGCAAACGAGGATAGATGTAGATGTCTATGGGCCGCAGCAACCACTTACCATCAGGTGGACTGTATGCTTGTTTGTCATCCTTATCCTATAAAAAAAAATACGAGGGCGACACTGAAAATTTCGGGAATCAAGGAAGTGACACAACATTACTATTTAAAAATGTATTTATTGCTTTTCGAAGTATTCTCCGTGAAATTTGACACATTTTTCCATACGATGGAACCAATCATTGAAGCGACCATTCCATTTGAAAGTTGGGGTCTCCAAAATGGCCGTTTTGTACGCGTCCACAGCTTCTTCAGGTGATGAAAATCTCTGTCCACGCAATTTATTCTTTATTTTAGGGAAAGTATAGAAATCATTAGGGCTTAGGTCGGGGCTGTACGGCGGTTGATCTAATTATTCTATGTTTTCTTGCTCTAAAAACTCTTTTGTTTTGTGTGCGGTGTGAGAACTCACATTGTCGTGATGAAGGATGATGCGGCGGTTGCAGTTCTCTTTACGGAGTTCAGAAACAACCTGTGGCAAACAAATGCTAGCATACATTCTGCATTAACCGTTCTTTGTCCCTCAAGAGGAATAGTCATAACATGGCTGGTTTTGGAAACAAACGTGGCCACCATTTTTTTTGCAACACTCCGTGAACGAGCAATTTTTGTTGGCTTTAACTCATTTTCGAACACCCAAACTCGTGACTGGTTTTTTGTTTCGGATTCGTACGCGTATATCCAGGATTCGTCACCTGATACGATGTTGTATACAGCATTTGAGGATCCTCCGTGGAATCTTTCGAGAGTTCTGACGCACCAAGTAACGCGAGCCGCTTTTTGCTCTTCACAGAGCGAATGCGGTATCCATCGGGAAAACAACTTTCTTACACCTAATTGTATTTGACTCATGCCAATGTCTAAAGTTGCCTGAATTTCGCGGTATGTCACATGTCGATCTTCCTCAATCTGCTTACGCACAGCATCAACGTTTTCTTGGGTGACTGCAGTTTTTGGACGACCTTGACGGGGATCATCACTGAGCTTGACACGTCCACGTTGAAATTCAGCAAACCAGCGATAAATTGTGGTTTTGGATGGGGCTTCATCACCAAATGCAGAAATCATCCGGTCAACACACTGTTTTTGTGTTAAACCACTTCGAAAGTCATAATAAATCATCGCTCTTGAATTTTCTCGAGTCAATTCCATTTTCTCAACGACTACACAAGTTTGACAAAACCTTGTGACAAGACCGAGAATCTTTTTTTAAATAAATAAATGGTATTCGATTTTTCAGTTAAAAGATTTTAATATGACAGGAACAGTGGAAATATTCCATTCCCAATACTTTTAGTTCAGCTCTCGTATGTAAACGTTTTGGAATTGTCATAATGATAAATATTTACTAAAGAAAATATCTTCACAGTTAGTTTGATGTACAATAACATTAGAAATAACGTATAAAAACAGAAAAGTTATCACATTTTTGATCGAATTACTCCCATGTTAACATTCCACAAACAAAAATGACGAAATTTAATTTTACCTTTTTTTTTCTAAATATTTTGTTACTATTATACAGATAAAATTCACTTTCACAGATGACAAATTTCATATAGCACCATCTATAATTTTGTACTGTATTAATAACAGCTATCTTTTGCGCCGTGTAGTGCCGTGTAGTGGCGGTCAAGAATATCCACTACCCCATATCTTCCCGTGGGTGTCGTAAAAGGCGACAAAGGGAAACAGGCAGGAGATGGGCAGCAGCATCTTCCTGATAGTAGCCGAAATTACAATTAAAAAAAAAACTGCGGTTGCCAACCCGCTCGCCAAGCGTGGCAACTATGGAAAATACCCCCCTATGAAGAGAGTAACAAAGAGCGAGGCGACCATGGTAACGGCGGGGCAGGGGGTGATAGGAATCTCCGGTGGAGGTTCGGTTGTCACCTTAGACGACTCGACCTGGCAACGTACAACGCACGCACCCTGAGGACTGACGAGAAGATCGTGGTGCTGGAAGAAGAGATAGACAAATTGCGCTGGCATATTATAGGATTATCCGAAGTCCGAAGAGAGGGGGAGAACGCGGTAATCCTCGAATCCGGCAACTTGCTCTATCACCGGGAGGGCGACCATCTGTCCCAAGGAGGTGTCGGATTTATCGTCCACAAGTCTCTCGTTAACAACGTTGTAAAGATCGAGAGTGTGTCGACGAGTGTTGCGTATCTTATATTCAGAATCACCAAACGGTATTCGCTAAAGGTCATACAGGTTTACGCACCAACCTCGGTACACCCCGATGAGGAGGTGGAGGAAATGTATGAGGATATCTCTAGAGCCATGCATTCCTCCAAAACCCAATATACGGTGTTAATGGGAGACTTCAATGCAAAACTAGGCACAAGAGAGAACGGTGAGCTGAAAGTAGGGAAATTTGGAATAGGGCAACGGAACCCAAGGGGCCAGCAGCTGGCCGACTTCATGGAGAAAGAGGGACTTTTTATGATGAACTCTTTCTTCCAGAAGCGGCCCCACAGGAAGTGGACCTGATCGAGCCCCGACGGTTCCACAAAAAATGAGATCGACTTCATTATGACGACCAGACGACAACTGTTCAGTGATGTCTCCGTGGTCGCGAGGGTGGAAACTGGTAGCGATCACGAATGGTTAGAGGCACACTGAACCTAAACGTTAAGTTGGAGAGGTCTCGTTTAATGAAGTCAACGCTCTGTCCCCCTCGTGCTCTGTTCCAAAGTCCTCAAACCTTTCAGCTCGAGTTACAAAACCGTTTTCAGTGCCTAGAAAACTACAAAGAAGTGCCGATATGAATGACAAGCTCGTGGAAACTGTCCATGCGGACGGAGCTTAGTTCTGCAAGACCCGCCGCAGAAGAACACAAAAACTTTCCGATCACACTCTTAATCTCATGGCTGTTAGACGGGAGATAATGCTACATTCTTCAACAGATTTGACAGCATACAGGCAACTGAACAGACAGATCTCCAAATGCATGCGGCGGGACTTACGCAACTTCAATACAGCTTGTATTGAAGAAGCGATCGAGCGGAACCAAGGCTCCAAAGTCTTTGCCAGAGATCTGTCTGCCAGAAAGAGCCAACTGTCAAAGCTGAGGACCGAGTGTGGCAGCATCGTTTCCGGGACACTTGAGATTTTTAGTGAGATTAAGAGGTTCTATGTGCAGCTGTACACGTCATCGTTGGAGCCACACGCAAGTGTGAGTAACGATCCAAGAGCGAGTCTTATCCGACACTATTCCGAAGATATCCCGAACGTCAGTCTGAGCGAGATTAGAATGGCACTCCAGCATCTTAAAAACGGCAAGGCCCCAGGCGAGGATGGAATTACAGCGGAGCTTCTGGAAGCGGGTGGAAAATCGGTACTTGAAGTCCTTCAGAAGCTCTTTAATTCCGTCCTCCATGGTGGCATTACACCAGAGGCGTGGAGCAGAAGTGCGGTGGTCTTGTTCTTCAAGAAAGGTGACAACGCTCTCTTGAAGAACTACAGACCGATTTCCCTTCCGAGCCACTTCTACGTGCTGAGTAATTACGAATCGTCTCGCGCGCAGACTTGACGACTTCCAGCCTCCCGAACAAACCGGTTTTCGAAAGGGCTTTAGCACCATAGACCACATACATACCCTACGGCAAGTTGTACAGAAGTCCGAGGAGTACAATTTGCCACTATGCCTGGCGTATGTGGACTATGAGAAAGCCTTTGATTCCGTCGAAATTTGGGCGGTGCTGCAGTCCCTTCAGCGGTGCCAAGTTGACTGTCGGTATATCGAAGTGCTGAAGTGCTTGTACAATAGGGCTACGATGGCTATCCGAGTACAGAACCAGAGTACGAAACCTATCCAATTGCAGAGAGGTGAAAAAAAGACAGGGTGACGTCATATCCCCGAGACTCTTCACCGCTGCATTGGAAGACGTTTTCAAGCTTCTGTACTGGAAAGGATACGGTATTAACATCAATGGCGAGTACATCACTCACCCTCGATTTGCCGACGATATAGTCCTTATGGCAGAATCGCTGGAGGACCTAAGCACTATGCTCAATGACCTCAATAGTGTCTCCCAACGGATATGTCTTAAGATGAACATGGACAAAACAAAGATTATGTTTAATGTCCATGTCACACCTATGCCGGTAGTTGTTGGGAGCACTAAGCTCGAAGTTGTTGACGAGTATGTTTACCTGGGACAAATAGTCTGACTAGGTAAGTCCAACTTCGACCGAGAGGTCAATCGACGGATTCAACTCGGCTGGCGGCGTTCGGGAAACTACGACACATCTCGTCTGACATTCCTCAAAACCTTAAAACGAAATTATACAACCAGTGCGTGTTGCCAGTGATGACTTACGGATCTGAGACGTGGTCCTTCACTGCTGGTCGTATGAGGAAGCTCAAGGTCGCTCAGCGAGCTATGGAGAGGGCTATAGTCGGAGTTTCTCTGCGTGATAAACTTAGAAATGAGGATATCCGCAGTAGAACCAGAGTGACCGACATAGCCCAACCGATTAGTAAGCTGAAGTGGCAGTGGGCCGGCCATATAGCTCGACGAACCGACAACCGATGGGGAAGAAAGGTTCTTGAGTGGCAGCCTCGTACCGGTAGGCGAAGTGTAGGGCGACCCCCACGAGATGGAGTGAAGACCTGGTAAGACATGTAGGAAGTCGATGGATGCAGGTGGCTCTGGACCGTGCTTTGTGGCATTCCTTGGGGGAGGCCTATGTTCAGCAGTGGACTTATGAAAGGCTGTAATGATGAAGATGATCTTTTGCGCTGTCCACGTTTAAACCGAAAGATGTCGTTTGGTGACTAGACAGGTCAGGCAATAATTGTTTTTGGGGACTGCAGTCACCGTGAACGGCTGACTAGTTATTGTAAATAAAAAATAAATATATATTTATACACATATACTTGGAAATAAATAAGTTCTCTTTCTATTACTATAGATAACAATAACCCCATTTAATATGAAAGAAGAACTAGAAGAAGGACACTTTGATACTCAAGGACATTACCATTGGAAAAAAGAAAAAGAAATCCGTGATGGATGGCTGGACAATATAGATTGGGTTAAAGTTAAGGGTCGACCTGAAGATAAGTATAAAGTTGATAAAGATGGTGATAAAGAACTTTATGAGGATACTGAAAGTGAAGAAGAGGAATCTGAAGCTAAATTTAATATCATTGACAATTATAAAGAGATTTTAGAACACATGAAGCCAAAGGAAACAATTGCAAAAACATTACAAAGACTTGGTATGTATATTATTATCATATTTTATAGTATATTTTAATTATTAATCAAACCATTTTTGCCATGTAGTGGCAGCATAAGTGAATACTACCTCATATCATCTGAAGGGTATCATAGTGACAAAGAAAACTGAAACAGGAGATCGGCAGCAGCATCTACCTTTTCTCAACTCAAAATAAGTTATAATAATGCTGAAGGTGGTAACTGTGGCAAATATTTGCCACTATGAGATAATCTATTAGGAAGGCCTATGTTCTGCAGTGAACTTTTTTAGGCTGTAATGATGATGATGATAAAAACATTTTAGGAACTTTGACTTTTTAGCCCAAGTGTTAGGTCTATTAGAGAGATAAATTGAGGATCAATATATTTTACATATTGTACAGGGTTTTTTCCTATGTGAGGAGGCAAACAAGCATACAGCTCACCTGATGGTAAGTGACAACTGCCGCCCACAAACAACTGCAATACCAAGGGAATTGCAGATGCATTGCCAGCATTCTAAAAAAGAGTAGGCTCTTTTCTTGAAGGTCCCTAAGTTTGGTGAGTGAAAAATTGTTGGTGTATTCGATTCCAAAAGGAAGTTGTGTGAGGAATAAAACTTCTTGTAAATAGTACAGTAGTGGACCGCCAATCATTAAGATGGTATCTTGAGTTCTGTTGCGATGTGCGATGGTAAAATTGAGCGGCTAGAATTAGTCTGAACAATTCCTCTGAACACTCTGTGGTATATACAATAGAATACACAAAGAGATGCAACATCTCTTCGCAGCGCCAGTGAGACAAGCAGATCAAAAAGACCTTGATCACCGACGATTCGAACCGCTCTGCGATGGATGCGATCAAATGGATGGAGCTGACACTGGGGAGCCCCGGCCCAGAGATGGGAACAGCATTCTATTTGCGGCCGAACCTGCGCCTTGTAAAGTTTCAGGCGATGTGTCGGCATTAAATACTGTCGCGGTCTGCTGAGCATGCCAAGCTTTTTAAAGGCCAATTTGGCCTTCTCTTCGAAGTAACCATGAAACTGCACGTCATTCGATATCTATATCCTGAAAGCAAGGAGATACGACAAAGGGGTCCATTTAGCAGTAAACATGCAAACTTGTGTGTTCTGGGGATTGAACTGGACTAGATTTAGTCGCCCCCAATCCAAGACTGTTCAGTAAAGTCTCGAATTCAGACACAAGTTTGTTCCGGTACTTGGCGAGGTTATGTGGTTAAAAATTATCAAAATATTCTATACAAGTTTTTGTGTACCTGATGGGAAAAATCAATTTCACACTCTGATTTTATTTCAGGTGCTGGTTTGAAGATCTCAAGTGCAGAGCGGTGGAAAAGAAAAAAAGCAGGTATTATTGATGAAAGTAGTAAAACAGTTACTAGAATAACAGAACTTGCCAACCAGATTCTTACCAAAACTGGTAATATGGATATTTATCAGGAAACTTATGAAAAAATTAATTCCATAATAAATAAAGATAGTAAGAAAAAGCAAGATGCTGAATTAGACATGTATGCTGATGACTTTGATCAGAAGGAAAAGCAGTGCATAGACAACAAAAACTCAACATCTGAAAATAATGAGGATAGTGATGGACCAGAGGAAGTTAAATGGGAGTTTAAATGGAATCAAAATGATGACTCTGAGATTTCTGGTCCCCATTCAACAGAACAAATGCAAAAGTGGGCAGCAGAAGGCTATTTCAAAACTGGTGTATGGGTTCGAAGACATGGCAAAGACAGCCAATTTTATAGTTCCAACAGAATGGATTTTGAACTATATATGTAAACTACTATTTAACACAGTAACAGTGGTTAATATACTGTGCAGTTCATTGTTTGAACATTTGAATTAAAATTCTATGAAATATTACACAAAGAGCAATGGCAGACTTTCATACATAAAATTAGTTGAGAAGAAATGGTAGCGTCTATATATTAAAAATATCTTAAAATGTTAAGAGTCAGTCCCTTAATAACTCTGTCAAAGAATTTTGTCCTGAGAAGGCGTCAAAAAAAAGATATTTACATTTGAACCTTTTTAGGTTATGTCCTATGTCACTTGGAAAAAGTCATGCTTCCTGTGATTGTTTGATGTTTGCTTAATACATAATTGAGAGTTTTTAGATTATTGTATTTCTATTATATATTTGCATACTATAAATGTATATTTCTGGCATGGCTCCAGGGCCTTTATATCATAGTGACATTCTCAGAAGGGCTAGAACCCAGAGCGTAAAGCCAGTAAAAAACAGTGACATTTTGTTTTAGCTAGTGTTGTTACATTAAATGGAATTGTTACTTAGTACTATGATTGAGATAATGTATTATTGTAGGAAATTCTTTGTAAGAGACTTATTCTCAGCCGTATCTCTTTTATTTTTACTATTAATGATAGTACAGTTATTACTAATAATAACTTAATAAAAAATATTTTGTGTGTTGTGTTGGTAGTCTTACAAAGTATATACGAAAATAGTATGAATATACTAAATGGCAACACTTGAACAGAGTAAAATGATTTAAGTCATTTGATATTCCCAAAAACTTGTTTTTTTCTGTGGCTTTAATTAAAATACATTTTTATTTAAAAAATCATAGAAAAATAATAAAACTCATTTTATATATAACTTATTTCTAGACGCGATAATTTTTGTCAACTATTTTTCTGCCATTGCTCTTTATAAGTAAGTAATATATTTGTTTTATTTTGTCTGTTCCTTAGGTATTGTTTTGATAAGTATAAGAGTGTGCACCTGAAGGTCGCTCAGCGAGCTATGGAGAGGGCTATGCTCAGAGTTTCTCTGCGTGACAAACTTGGAAATGAGGATATCCACAGTAGAACCAGTGACCGACATAGCCCGGATTATAACGGATTAGTAAGCTGAAGTGGCAATGGGCCGGCCATATAGCTCGAAGAAGAACCGACAACCGATGGGGAAAAAAGGTTCTCGAGTGGCAGCCTCGTACCGGCAGGCGAAGTGTAGGGCGTCCCACCACTAGATGGAGTGACGACCTGGTAAGATATGCAGGCAGTCGATGGATGCAGGTGCCTCAGGACCGTGCTTTGTGGCATTCCTTGGGTGAAGCCTATGTTCAGGAGTGGACTTGCGAAGGGCTGTAATGATGATGATGATGATGAAGTCAGTTGATCAAATTTTTTAATTTTACCACTTGTTAACAATTGTAAACCTTTCCTGGTGTATTTCCGAGGTCAGAAGTGGGATCTTATGATGAAGTTCCGACATAATTATATGTTATTTTTCAACGTAATTGTCTTTTAAGCAAACACCTAGAATAGCGTTTTGAAAGTTGATTAATTCCCTTGGGGGAAAAAATGCTTGACGCATCACCTCATCGCCGCCGTCGAATTTTATACCCCGTAATTGCTTTTTCAGGTAGGCAGGTAAATAGGTGAAAATCACTCGGAGCTAGGTTCGGAGAATATGGATCAACTGAAATCCAGCAGTTCGGATGGCGCGCCTGCAACATCAGATCAATAGCACGCAGTTTTTCTTGACGTTTATTCTTTAGTCCTTCGCGTAAAAAATATCGGGTTATTCATTCTGCTTTACTGAAATAGTCGATCATTGTTATACCTTCCGCATCCCAGAAGACGGATGCTATTGTTTTTTAGCGGACGCAGACACCTTGAATCTCTTGGCTGGCGGGGAAGACAGTCTTTTCCACACCTTACTTTGGGTTTTCGTCTCCGGATTCCCAGAAGACGGAGGCTATTGTTTTTCCAGCGGACGCAGACACCTTGAATCTCTTGGCTGGCGGGGAAGACAGTCTTTTCCACACCTTACTTTGGGTTTTCGTCTCCGGATCACAACCCACGTTTCATCTACGGTTACGAAACGAGCGAAGAAAGAATCTGTATCTTCTTAAATTATTGCTAAATTTAGCTTTGAAATCAACTCTTGTTTTTTTTTGGGCGTCTGTTAATATTCGAAGAACCCAGCGCGCGGCCTATCTTTTAAATTTTTAAGGCATGAGTTAAAATAAACTGAATTGTCCCAAACGAAAGCTTTAGAATTTCAGTTAAATAATGGATGATCACATGTCGATCTACCTTAAAAATTCCTTCGATTATTTAAACATTTTCTTGCGTAGCGGCTGTAGCTGGCCGACCGAAGCCAGTGTCATCATTGCAGGTGGTTCTGAATATGCCACTAAAAAATAAGAATATCACTTATCTGATTAATACTGCAGTTCTTAAAAAACGCTTATTTTTAATTTCCCGACAAATGTGAAATTTGAAAATAATTAGGTACAGTTTTTTTTTCTGGCCTTAGCTACTAACGAATTTAAGATTCGAAATAGAACGCATTTTTATAACACATTTTTAAGTGTCCTATTCCGAAAACTTATTGATCAACCTAGTATTTATGATTAATTAGGTAAACCACGCACGCAAGCTAAATTAAACTTTAACACTGCGCGCGAATGTCCGTATTGCTTTGCATATTTTCGGTCATATCACGTCCCGTCACGGACGACATTCCATGGTCACATAGGGCTGTCAACAAAGAGTTAAAAACAGTAGGTATAACTTAGTTATTTAATTTACAACTATTTTACTTTTTTTTCATTCATAAAATCTCTAAAATAATAAATTAAAATTAACAAAGTAATACGCAAATTCAAGAATGAAAAAACTAAACCTTAAGTATAAATTTAGTAAATACTATAGAGGGAAAACGTGAACAGGGAGTGATAAAATTAATATTCGTTAATAATTCCAGTCATTTCTTTGTATTTTAAAATTCTTTTACATAATTGATAACATCAATCCGGAATCTATTTCAGGGCGGGGTGATTTTAAATATTCAGTGAATGTTGCTGAGGTTACGCGGGATTGTTTCATCTATAAAGGTGTCAGGCAGTGTCGTGCCGCTTCTCAATGGCTGTTCAATCTGTTTGTGAACAGTTCTTTGAAAGTTTAAGAATAGTTAAGAATGGATGAGTTAACCGTCAAATGCCGTTTGTATGCCAACGTTCAAGTCATATGCGTCGTCAGCGGGTGAGTTGAAAATGATGGCTACATTAATGAACAGGTCATTAAAAGAAAGGGGAATCAAGGTGAACACAAGTAGGATGTAAATGATAGCTTAGGAAAAAGAAGAAAGTAAAACGATTTGTGAAATAAGAATAGAACAGAAGTTGGAGGAGAAAGTTTATAGAACAAAGAGTGAGTGCAGGACACAGAGTGACTTTCTACAATAGAGAAAAAGGGCTCTATTGTTGAAAGACCGATTGTGCTAAAAAGGAACGTATAGATTTCACAATATGGTATTTCAATTATATTATATTTTAAGGTAGGGAATAACACAGGTTAAACTCCGCCATTGCCGGTCCCAAGTCCGGTTCCGCCGGTGGGAGTGGGTGTATCCGGTGGACTAACACACCCACCTGTGCTAGGACCTGCGCAGTCGAGCGCCGTACGCGGGGATGAAAGAGTCCTGGAGGGTTGGGCCGATCGTCGCTGGGGTATATAGTGGCGAGAGGCAACACGCCCTCTTTGGTCCGGATTTCAAGCTAAACGGTGGCCCTATCTGCTAGCCACAGATAGGGAAATGGCCAAGCGCCCCAGGGTCGCAGGCGAGGGATGTGGGGGCTGCCTAGTTTTCCTAAAAAGGGGGCTGGGTGGTGGTAAAGGCCATGCTGACAGAGCAAGTGACAGTTTATTCAGGTGGTGGGGATGGGCCTTGTCAGCCCCATCTACCAGCTGGATCGAGCTCCTGATGTCGCACTGTGAGCCAACTTCACGTCCCTATATTCTCCCGGTAATCCTAACGCCTGAAATTCTTTTTTTTTTAAAGTATGGGCGTTCCCAAAGATGCGGGATCCATGGAGTTGTGTATCGCTAGCAACGCAAAGTCGGGAATTTGTATTTGGAAAAATCCAAAATTAGGGGCTTTTTAGGTGCTAATTAGGTGCCAAGTTTAAAAATTAAGTGCTCTAAAATTTTCACCGCAACGAACTGTTGAAATTTGCGTTGCTAGCAAAACGTCTCGCTAGCAACGCAAAGAAGTTATAAGATATATGATAAATATTAATAGCAAGGAATTAAGTGCTAATTAGGTGCTGCAAGTATACGCAATAACAAGGCGCCCCTAATAAAAATAAAGTCATTATTCAGAACATTGCAGATGCAAAATTCAGATTTCCTGAAAATCAAAAAACAGTCAAATTTGCTTTCAGAAATAGTCCAAGTTAGGGGCTTTTTAGGTGCTAATTAAGTACCAAGTTTAAAAATTAGTTGCTCCAAAATTTTCACCGCAACGAACCATTGAAATTTGCGTTGCTGGCAAAACGTATCGCTAGCAAGATATACTAGATATACGATAAACATTAATAGCAAGGAATTAAGTGTTGATTAAGTGCTGAGCGATTATCGAAACCCGATACAGATTAAGATATTATTCTGGGAATTATGGGGTCCACGACCACCATTACCTTACCATAATGTATGAACGGTATTTTTTGTTATTTGTCAGTACCTAAAAATTAAATGCTAATTAGGTGCTGAAAGATTATTGAGGTCGCATGTAAATGACGGTAATATTCTGGAAATTATCGGATTCAAAACCACAATTACTATAAGGTATGAAAGGCATTTTATGTTTTTCAGATTTAATATAATCTATAATATTATTTAATATAATTTTCAACTAAATAAATGTTACTATTCTCATTTTTAGACAGGTGAAGCCTAAACTTTAGTGTACTAAATCGAAAGGATATTTTCTTTCCAGTAAATTGCTTTGTAATAAATAGCGCCAT